GAATTCTAATTTTTTCCATATTGCATCAGGGGTATCGATACCCTACTACAGGGTACCGATACCCTACTATAGGGTACCGATACCCTTGCTACAGTAATTTCGTCCACTTATTAAAAACTCATATAATTTAAAACGTTCATCACTATACATTTACCATTTACATACATACATTTAAAACATTACAAAACTCAGTCATATAATTTATATTTGTTCTCTTATAACTCTTCATATTCATATATTCACTTATGTCTATGTCTCCTAACTTAAATATTGTTCTCATAGAATTTCATAACATTTTTCGTGTACTCACTTATACCATATAATATAAATTATACTTGGTCATCTTATATTCACATGTTCATTTCATTCCTTATGCCTTTATCACATAACTTATCACACTAACATATACTTATACAAATCATATAACATACATAATAACATGTTAACACATATACTCCTTCATACACATAAATCATGTATTATTTATCGAATCATGTAAACACACATATAACTTATGCATGCATTGTAAATCAAATAATATTTTTGGAGTCACTTCTTACCATAGTAACTCCGTCACTGGCTCATCGCAAGCCAATGTTTATTCGATAATATAAGTACAAATTAAATTGGTACTCACCTTAACCTTGCTTAATTACCAAATCCACCTCTATGATTTTCTCTCTTTGAATCGATCCTAACTTTGCGGTTCTTCCCGAATTTGCTTGTGCTTGATATCTATACATATAATATCCAAATCAACATTTCAATTACTATGATTCGATCCTTCATTTCTTAGAGTAAAATAAAAGCTTAATTCATTTTCTCTTAGGGTAGTATCTGTACCCCCATAGGGTATCAGTACCCCCTGCATAATCTGTTAAAACCTATAATTTACTGTTTAAACCCGAAAATTCATCATCTCATCTCTGAATTTCCTCACAAAGCTCCTTTTATATCACTAAACTCAACTACAACCATTTTAACTAGCTTTTATCATTCATTCACCTTATTATCTCTCATACTTCATTCAAATTCTTAAAACTAAGAATCATACCAAAATTTCCATGTATTCCAAATTCAATTCTAACACTTATAACTTCTTATTCTCATAGATGACAAGTCAAATTCAACCTCCAAATTCATTTAAACACTTTTATTTAAAATTTCACTTTGAAGCCCATTCTCTTTAATCTTTCATAACTTTTTCATCTTTTGATTTTAAGCTTTCCTTAAGCTTAGTTATCATCTAATGATCATAACCCAACCTTTAATTCAACAAATAATCAACTAATTAAGAAACTCACCTTTGCTTGGCTTGAGCTTGAGCATACGGGATGAGAGGAAGAAGAGAGTTTTCAGATAACTCTTCCCCCACCCCCACGTGATTCATATTTATTAAGGGGGAAAATATCTTTCTTGTCAAATGATCATTTTCCCTTTAATTCCTTATATAATTACTAATAACTTTCAGGAAATATTTTCAAATAAATCATTGAACTATTCAAATATTCTACTTTAATCATCATATTCTGAAATTTTACAATTTAGTCACTAACCCGTAGTTTGGGATGTTACAGTCTTTCTCCACCGTTTCAACACAACAAGAGAGTCCTTGCAAATTTTCATAGCTCCACATTCACTGGAGAATTTGTACCCCTTTGAATCTAGAGTACATAACGAAATTAGATTTCTACTCAAATCTGGAAAATGTCTCAAATTACCAAGTGTTCGAACGATCCCATCGAACATCTTAATCTTGATTGTGCCAATACCTACGACTTTACAAGAGATATTATTTCCCAAAAATACATCACCTGTATATATAGCTTTATATGTCGGAAACCAGTCACGATTAGGACTCATATGAAAACTACTACCAGAGTCAAACATCCACTCATCACTTGTTATAAAGTTGTCGTTAGCTGCAACTAGGATTTCTCCGTCATCGTACTCCTCTACTATACCGGCCTCACCAGATTTCCCAAAGTTCTGCTCTTCAGCTTCTTTTTTTTTTATTTTACTACTTGTAACACTCCGATTTAACATGACCTTTCTTTTTACAACAGTGACAAGTTTTACCTTGGTTGGAAGATTTTGATCTACCAATTCCAATATTATCATAAGAATGCTAGCCTTTTTTCCCATTGTCTGAGCTAGTCGATTCATGCATCACGAGATAATTTGCCTAGGGCTCGGAACTAGATACAAGATGTTTCATCTTGTCAAACGAGTGAAAGCCATTGTAAACTTCTCCAAGAGTGAGTGTTTCGTGACTGTACAAGATTGTATCTTTGAAAGATGAGTAAGAATGAGGAAGCGAACATAGGATGATCAGTCCTAAGTCTTCTTGATCTTACTTCACTTCTAAAATCTTTAGATCATAGACGGTTTCCTTGAATGTGACCATATGCTCTTCAAGAGACGAACCTTCAACCAACTTGAGCTAATAAAGACGTTGCTTTAGGTGCAACTTGCTGGTAAATGATTTTTGCATGCAAAGTTGCTCCAATTTCGCCCACAAAGATACAACTGTTTTTTCTTTTAACACATCCTGTAAAATTTGATTTGTGTAAACAAACCTGAGAAATAGCTTTATGATCCTTACATTTTTCTTCATTCGTCCATTGAGTTAAGGCTTCTCATCAAATCTTTTTATTGCATCGTAGAGATCTAACTGTGTAAGAACATCCCAAATCTTTACATTCCATAGCGAGAACCTGGTGTTTTGATCCGACATCGAAATATCATACTTTATTGTTGTCATAATCTTGAACCCAAAGCTCTGATATTAGTTTGTTATAATATCAGAATGATGATTATCGACAAACAAATAAACACGATTGAAAAGGAAAAACAAAGAACACCAGAATTTAATTGGAAAACCCAATAGTGAAAAACCACGAGCAAAGGAAAATAATTTTACTAATATGAAAGAAGAAAATACATGAAGATTTTGGTGATAGAAAATAACTTGATTTCTAACCGTGACCTTTAGTATCTATTTATAGTATAAGTATTTAATTACAAATAAAAACTAAATAAAGTAAAAATCTACTTTAATAAAGTTTTTTTACTTTTAATCAAACTAAGTTTCCTACTTTTCTAATATTTATATATTAATTAATTTGTGTCACTTTGAATTCGAGTCAAACTCTAACAATTTCTTTATGATTAAATATGATTCCATGCGTTTTTTTTTTTGGATAATTATTCTATGCGTTTAGAATGTACTACTTCTTCACTTTTTGGAGTCAGACCCATTTTCTATTCTTTAAATTATTTTATGTGAGGTTTTTATCCCATACAAATGAATTTGGAATGAAGACAAAAGAAAGTGGTGTTGGTAAAATGTGATAAACGTGATACGGATGACCAATTTTTTAATGGGTAAAGTACACGAATGTGTCCCTGACTATAGTATATTATTTTATTAAATTCATTGATTATTAAAAGTTATAAAATGATCATTCGACTATAGAATGTTGCTTTATTGAGTCTCTCAACCACCAAAAGTTACAAAATAATCACCAAACTATTCATTATGATCTAAACTCATCATTTTATGTTAAACAGTTGACGGTATTCTAAGCTGAACGTTAACTCGCTGACTGTGATATGATAAAATCTGATCCAAGAATCTCAAACAATTATCACATGTTAACGTCCAACTTACACAACTGCCAATTTTTTAACGAGAAAATATGAGTTTGTAACATAATAAATAGTTGGGTGACAATTTTGTAACTTTTGATAATCGAGAGACTTAATAAAATAATATACTATAGTCAGGGGACCATTCGTGTACTTTAACCTTTTTTAATTATACAACTTAAGGGTATTTTTAATTGTTAAATCGATATTTATTTATTAGTAGATTTTTAATGCAAATATGAAAGAAAGAAAAACTCTCTACTAAACATCAATCAATCTAATTAATCAACTCTTTAATATAAATTCACTGCTGAAGTTTTCACTTCACAGTCATGAATATATATATTTTTATTAATATAAGTTGATTACAAATGGTAGTATATGCTTTCAATCATTTGATAATAAGCAATCAAATATCTTGTGGTTACTGTTACTCGAACCCGAGATTTCTAAAGTCTAAAAATAACAATAAACTCTTTAACTAATAATTTGATCCGCGCCACAACCATGAATAATAAAGGTGCAATAATTAAGAGTGAACAAAAATATAATAAAGTGCATGAATCTCGAGTTTTCGCTTCACATTGCAAGTGGAAAATACAGAATGAAAAATCCCATCTCTCTCGAGTTTTCACTTCACAGCCATGAGAATATTAAAGGTGGGCTTAGGGAAAGAGCGACAAATATAATAAAGTCCATAAATCTCGAGCTTTGGCTTCACATTGCAAGTGGAAAATACAGAGAAAAAGATGGCAACCCTCTCGAGTTTTCACTTCACAACACCTCATCAGTCCTCATGGATTTGAAACGAACAATTAACAATGCAAACATGAAGACCAGTTAACTCGAGGGTGAAAAACTCCCGTGTTGTCGCTTCACGGTCCAAGGCATAAACTATTTTTGATTCCTTCAAATGGGTATTTTTGGACCCATATAGTATTTCTTTTATCAACTTTTATATTTAAAAATATTGTATACAATTTTATTTATCATTTTATATGTTAGTTACGTCTTTCATACCGAGCTTGGGCTAGTAGAATCTTGTAAATTCTCTCTTGGGCAAATGATGGGCCCTTATAAGATGGGGTTGCTTTTATTACTCCATTGATTTTCAGCTTTATCCAATTAACTTAAATGGAATCGAAATGGATTGTTTCATGCTCTCTGACAAAAAGATGAATTACTCTATGTCGGCCATGGTTTGTTAATAAAATATTTTATATTTAACCTCATTAAATTTAATCAAATTATGATAATATATGCATACATAATTAGATACCGTCAAGATCAACCGACTCCCTCTTCAAACCGCTATAAAACCCCCCACCCTTGGCTCCAAGTTCTCATCCTACACTCAATCCTATCAATTACTCCTATTTGAAGAAAGAAGCTAGAGTCATGGCCACAAAAAGAAGAGCCTCACTAGCCCTAGTTTTTGCACTCAACATTCTCTTCTTTTCCCTAGTCAGTGCTTGTGGTTCCTGCCCTTCCCCCAAGCCTAAACATAAACATAAACCTAAGCCAAAACCCACCCCATCTCCCTCTCCTGCGGGATACAAGTGCCCCACGGATGCCCTTAAACTAGGTGTGTGTGCTGATCTGCTCGGCGGGTTTCTCAACATCACCCTCGGTACCCCTCCCGTCGAGCCATGCTGCACCCTCATCCAAGGCCTAGCTGACCTTGAGGCCGCCGTTTGCCTTTGCACTGCTATCAAGGCTAACATTTTGGGCATCAACCTTAATGTCCCACTTTCCCTCAGTTTACTCCTCAACGTCTGCTCAAAGAAAGTTCCCCCCGGTTTCCAATGTCGTTAAATCGTTCTCTCTCTTCTTGGTGTTGTTGCGTGGTTTTTGATGATATAATATCATCCATCCGGCATGCGGTGATCAATGTTCAATTACCTTGTTGTACTTGTAGGGTTGTTCTTCCTTTTGGATTGACACTGAATAAATGTAATACTATAAGAAGGTGTTTAATTTCATCGAATCTACGTGTCTTAATTTATGGGAAATGAAATACTAGTGTAATTCAGCTTGTTTATTTGAAGAAGCCGACAATCTTTCTTCACTGCAGAGTAGAAGCATGTCTGATTCCTGGTGTTCTCATGCTACAGTCTTTCTTTTTTATTTAGGTTTAAGTAGGTTTTTAATAAGATATTTTTCTTTGATTCTGATGTTAATATAATATTTATTCGCCGAACAAAAAAATTAATATGAACTCTAATCTTAGTATTAGATTGTGATGCAACACAACAGTTACATCTTCTCAATACTAACAACATTTTAATACTATGTAATAAGGAAAATGCATCACAATTTTTACCGTCTAAAATTATCGCTTCAACAAGTTAAATATTATATCGCAATAGCATACCTTTAGGTGACTTGAGATTAAATAAATATTAAAATATAGTTGAAAATATATAAATATAATATTTTAATTATTTTTAAAACATAAATTATATATGCGACAATTATTATTATAACATTCATAAAACTTACGATTATTTCATTATAATCGCATCAATAGTGGACACCACAATCATAATTTAATTTTATGTTGAATAATATTGAGAGGATTCACTACAACAAAATTATTCTACAACGGCCATGAATTTTATATTCCATAAACAGCTACAAAATCTTTAGAACATTTCCAAAAAAAAATTAAGTGATTTAGCTAAACCATGAGCAGTGAGACAAGTGAATGGAACTTAACGGAATGTAACCATAAAGCACAAGATATACTAGACACTACCAAAACCTATTGATTAAGCAATAGGGTATGCAAAATGTAATCTCATTAATGAAGCAAATGGTGGTCGGATATCCATGCAGATATTGATCTTTTGAACAATCGGCAAATAACATCCGGGACATGTTTAGAAGCAGGGCACAACAAGTGTAAACGGTGGTCGGGGATTAGTGCGAGCTGTCTCTTCCATTCTTACGTTTTTCATGTCGTTTATTGCTTGGAGTTGTATGGAAACATAGATATATAGGTGTCAGGCTTTTTTAGATAACCATGGAGTCGTTTCAGGTCGGTGTAGTGGCCCATGGCTCATGGTTTTGAGAGCCGATAAAGCAACTAATGAAGCACATTTAGGGACCCGTGAACTATTTTTGTCGCATATTATAACCCATCATAATCCAATCATCAAGTTTTCACACTCTCCACGACACATACATGCAACAAGTACTACTAAAATACAACAATGATTGAAGAAAAAGTTCTAGCCCTGAAGATTACAGAAAAACAAACTCTAAATCAATTGAAAATACAACAATGGTGAAACCCTAGGACAAAGCGACCTAACCAAACCTAATGGAAAAGTACACTTTATTTTCAATTTCGCAGCAGCAGGTTCAGTTTCGCAGATTTCTATGACCTATTCTTTGTTTGTTTCTTCCCCATCTTCATTTTGTTTTCCTTTTCATCGTTGTGAACGCTTTGGCCATAGGTTTCAGCTTTTTATTGGGTTACTTCTGCAATTTCGTTTTTTGATATATATCTCCTAATTTACAAATGATTCGGCTGAGGAAAAGAAAATAATTCTCCAGAATCTCCACGATTTTTCGAAGTGAATATTTTACTGCCACGCATCCTCTATTATTTTCTGCTATGCTTAGTTGTAAGATCAGTGGATGGTACAGAAAGTGACTGTCATAGCAGAACTCATCGGTGAGGTAGCTAGGGTTTTGCATTTTGCTGTTGCAGTGTGTATTTTTTCCCTCTCCGTTACTTTCACTAATCGAACATGTGAAACCTCATTCTGTCTCATATAATTGATAATCGAACTATATATTTGGGTGAATTCACGAGATAATGTTCTCGAACTTTTTTATTCACGATATAATGCACATTCCAGATTAATTGCTGGGATGGGGTGAATTCTACAGTGATCTCGTAGGACGCCATGCAATCCAGGCGATCTTGTAGGACGCCATACAATCCAGGCGACATACCATACGGGTGACATACGAGCCATACAAGCCATATACGAGCCACGAGCCAATGGAGAGGTCGCCATGCAGTATTATACGAGGAGAGGTCGCCATGCAGACGTGCCAGCCAATGGAGAGGTCGCCATGCAGACGAGCCAGCCAATGGAGAGGTCGCCATGCAGACGAGCCAGCCAATGGAGAGGTCGCCATGCAGTCTGGGCGACCTTGTAGGTCGCCATGTAGTCCCGGCGACCTTGTAGGTCGCCATGTAGTCCCGGCGACCTTGTAGGTCGCCCCGGCGTCACCTAGCTCACGAGACCATGCATGCACATGCAGCCAAGATTACTTCACGTGCTCCTGCTCCCCGCTGCATGCCTACAGCTATTGATGCCATGTGATCCTAGCTCACGAGACCATGCATGCACTGAACCATTGCTGTGGGTGAAATAATTGAGGCAGCCGGTTATATATGGGGTGTGCAAATCGCAAGAACATAAAAGAAAGATCTCACATAAAAGAAAGAAAGAAAGGGAGAAGAGATTGCAGCCGAGAAAGAAAGAAAGAGAGAAAGAAAGGAAAGTAAGAAGAAGAAAGGGAGATAAGGTAAATTTGTTTATATTTAAATTAGTTTATTATTATAAATGTTAATTAGTTTATTAGTTTAGGGTTATATGATTGTTAGTTTAAGTTATAGTATACATAAATTAAAAATTATTTAATTAGTATATGTTTGATAGTTATATAGTTAAAAAATAATTAATTAGTTTGTTTTGTTAATAGTTAGTTATATAAAAAAAATTATTTAATTAGTTTTTGTTAGTTAAATAGTTAAGTTATATTTGTTTGTTGAATATATATTATATAAAAAATTAGTTAGTAAGTTTATTAGTAGTATATTATAATGAAAAAATAGTTTATTAGTTAGTTTTAGTTATATAAAAAAATATTTTATTAGTTGTTTAAGGGTTTGGTGTTTACGTTTAACTTATAATTTAAAAAGTTTAGTTTGTTAGTTTATTAGTTTATTATATTATAAGTTATTATATTAAAGTTTTGTGTTGAAAATTAGTTAGTTAGTTTATATTAGATTATATTAAATGATTTTTTAAATATTGTTGTTTAATTTTTTTTACAGATTCATTCCAATGGCTGACCAAATTCCACTGTTGAGGCTTGACAATGAACATATTTCAAGTCATTTGGGAATAATGGTGAAAAAATATTTGTTTAATGAATTATAATTAATAAATATTTGAATATTATTTTATGATTGTGATAATTTTTTTGAAATATTTAATTGTAGGAGGACGAGCAGCGAGTCCTTCGTCTTCGACTACATAAAGTGCCCAAGCCACACCCACTGATAGAAGAAAATTTGCAAGAGGTTGGATTTTGGTATATAACATTTGTGCGAGATTACAAGTTGGTCCCAGGTTTGATCAGTGCGTTGATTGAACGTTGGAGACCAGAAACGCACACGTTTCATTTGCCGTGTGGCGAATGCACTATAACTTTGGAGGATGTGGCAATGCAACTCGGGGTCCAAACTAATGGGATGCCGGTGGTAATGTCACATGAGTTTAATAAGGTGGAACAACTTTGCAACTTGTTTCTTGGGAAAGCGCCCGTACCACCAGAGTGTAAAGGGTGGCGGGTGAGGTTGTCATGGTTGAAGAATGAATTTCAACTTCAATCAAATAGTACGGAGCACGAAATTATATATGCAACACGAGCATATATATTACAATTGATTGGGGGAATTTTGATGCCTGATAAATCCGGTAGTTATGTTCACACTCATTATCTTCTTTTTTTAACAAATTTTGAGAATTGTAGGCAATATAGCTGGGGTTCGGCGATATTGGCATTCTTGTATCGTGAGATGTGCAAGGCGTCATTGGTCGTGAATGATAATAATACAGTAGAAATCGGTGGATGTCTGTTGCTGCTACAATCATGGGCTTGGCATAGACTTCCGTTTTTGACACCGATTAGTCGGACTGCGGTTGACTTTCCACTTGCCGGAAGGTAATATGAATCCTCTATTTTAATATAAAATATTAATTAAAAAATATTTATTTTGATTAAAATTATTGAACAAAATGTCTCTATTTTTGTTTTGATTGATATATAGATGGAGGCATAAAATTGAAGGCACAGGGTTGGTGCACAATAACATTAAAGAGTTCAGGTTGAAGATCGACATTAAGGCCAAAAAGGAGGTATGCATAATCTGTATTTTTTAATTATTATTTAAATTAACATTAAGATCGACATTAAATTGTTTTTGTAATTTTACAGTTTAATTGGAGACCATACATGAATGAAGAATTATTTGCGTTGATACCGCACGATATTTTAGATGGGTTTCAATATTGGTGTGCTGTTACACCATTGATCAATTTTGCTTTTGTTGAGATCCAATTTGGGGATAGAGTGCTGAGGCAATTCCACTTCCACCAACCTATTCCGCGAAGTCTATGGGATCATGACCTCCTCCAAAACTTAGATGGTCGTCGTCCAGTGAATTGGGTTGAGACGCATGACGACCTGCACATATTTGATGGTCGTCGTAAAGAAAGCGTTAATTGGGTTGAGAAGCATGCAACCTACATTAATGCTTGGAACAATAGGGCTTCATTCATGCCAACTCTTGACGCCATTCAAGACGACGACTTTAATTTTGAGACTTCGGCTTACCTTGCTTATTTTTTGGATAATGGAAAGCCGTTCCTCACAACAATAGTAGAGAGGCGACAATTTTTGAGGTTTAAGAAAAGATTTGGTAAAGCTGAATACTCTCTACCGAGTGGGAGTGGGAGTTCATCTCTACAACCTGAAGCGGAAATGGCCGATGTGGATAATAGCGCACCACAATCATTGCATCACGCAGTTGATGATTCTACTGTCCCGGCATACATACCAGAGTTTGTGCAGCCTGAGGCACCCATCTATTCTCCTACGTTTTCGTCGACGTATGACTTTGAACACATGACAGTTCAAATACCCCCAATGAATGAGGGGGATAGGTACAATACTCCTGAGCCACAACGGCCACAACGTATCAGACGTCTGCCCCGACATTATCATTCAACAACACCCCGGCATCGACAACAATTGTAA